CCGACTAGTTTTGAATGCGTTTCTTTTCGTTTCCGGCCGAAGTTCATGTCTACTGCTTGTCTTTTCTCTCGAACGCGGGGATTCATCGTGCCGTCGGATTACCCGCGCCTAATAGCGTTGAATCAGTCGTGTTACGTACGTATCTTTCTCACCGAACTGTATTATCTTTTTTTTTCTTTCTCCACCGTTTCTTACCGCCTTTCCAAGCGGCCAATAAACCTGACTATTATTTGTTTTATTATTAATTTGGAGTACGAATTCTTTTGCCCGCCCCGCGCCATCCCATCGCCCTTTTGCCTCGCCCTGCCCCTCTGCCGTTAGGTCGAGCCGGCCGGCCCTCGTGCGATCGACTTCGGGAGCGGCGTTTGATGGTCGAGTGTCATCGCGTGTAAGGATTTCGTTCGCGCTATCGCGTAATCGTTACGTTTCGCGAGTGACGTGACCTAGAGCATGTCTGGCGCCCATTTTTCGTGTCGCCGCTCCTCGTCGGTTGCCGGAGGGACACATCCCGGAGGGCTGCCACCTTCCCTCCCCGGAATCGTACGCGATTTCCACAATCTTGTTTGATCCGTGCTCGCGCGAATCATTTATTTCACGGGAGCACGTGACAATATATACATATGTACAGGCTAGCGCGAGCGCCGGTTAGTGCCCATCGGCTGTGTACGTGTTGGCGCGTGACGTCGGTGGGCGCGCGGTAGGCGCAGTAGGCGGGGAGTGGCGCGGCGCGCGAGACGAGTGTTCCCGGCGGGCGCGGTGTGCGATGAAGGGGAGCGCGTGGCCTGAGCCGATTCTAAGAATTGGTGATCCTGTTTGTTTGTCGGGGGAATCCGCCGCTGAGGTATTTTCTCAGCGGGGAGTGAGAACTCTCTCAGTCCCCTGGATTCGGCGGTCCCGAAAGAAGGAGTCGGAGACGGTTTGCCGAGATACACTTGGCTGAGGCCGAGAACCCTCTCGACCCCGGTGCTGACCGTCCCGAGGAAGGATCCGGAGCAGATCTGCCTAAGAACGCTAGGCGGA